TCAATACAACTTTGTAATGTACTTAAGTTTTTACAATTACACACACACTATAGTTCACAACAATTCACTCACTTTCTATCGCGCTTAGACACAATTGTCCGTCCCCGCCAACTATAGTTCCGATCTCTGTGTCTGCTATCCTCAGTTCCCGCCGACAGTAATCGCTGTCTTTCTTTCTCTCTGCCTCCGTCTGTCTCTCTTACTGTCTATCGCACTTATATACGATAATACTGTCTGTTCTAGAAACTTCTAAGACTCTCAACACGTGCTACCAGCGTCACTTGACTTCCGCTGTCGTAACACACTAGCGAATCTTTTAGAATACTCGTCACGTGACCCCCACTGTCGTAACAAGATTTTAAATTCTCCTTTAGAACTATGTCAAAAATATGTTAATATATTTATATAAGTTGCTAGTAAAATAATATTTGATATTTCCAACCTGAATGGCACCTTATCCAACTATAGGGCTAAACGGCCAAGACAGGGAGTGGTATAGCTATTGCTAATTTAGAGCTTCTGACCATTCAGCAGCAGTCGCCGTCCATACGGAATAGGCCAGGCATGGCCAGGTGGTTAGGGCGCTCGACTCGTAATCTGAGGGTGGCGGGTTCGAATCTCCGTCACACCAAACATGCTCGCCCTTTCAGCCGTGGGGGCGTTATAATGTGACGGTCAATCCAACTATTTGTTGGTAAAAGAGTTGCCCAAGAGTTGGTGGTGGGTGGTGATGACTAGCTGCCTTCCCTCTAGTCTTACACTGCTAAATTAGGGACGGCTAGCGCAGATAGCCCTCGTGTAGCTTTGCGCGAAATTCAAAACAAACTATACGGAATAGCACGATTAACTGTAAATTTTATAAAACGCCCACAGCTGAAAGTGCACAGCGTGTTCACCGGCACAACGCATCATTTAACCTTAGACCTTTCGATGGGCAGCCCAGTTCGATAAAGTAATCACGGGCTGATATATTTTTTTATGTTTATCTTTTGAGATATAATGCGCAATGTTTTTTTCTGATATAAAAAAAATATTAGTAAGAAATAAGCCGCTTACGTGTTTATTACGAACATTGTATAATATAATAATAAAACTTATATAAATAACTTCTAAATATTGCTGAAATTGCCGAGGAACATTGATGAAAAGTTGACAGTGTATGTTTAAATAGCTTATCTGCATTGGTTTTTGTATAGCAAAAACATATATAAGGTTATTGCATACGGACTGTACTTGAGAACTTGGTATTTTTATTGTTACCACAGAAATAACTTAAAGATATTGTATACAAAAACAATTTCTATGACAAATAACGCTGAACATTAGCATTTTTAAACTGATCTTCCAAGTGATTTGTTTTTAATAACAAGATCAATTTGTACTACCCGGCGTGAGAATAAAGGGCTTATCTAATAATATTAGTAGCTTGCAAGCGAGATGACAGTGGCTGTAAATACTAGTTAACTGTCGAGATAAAATCAACATTCCATTTTTTGAAACATTGTACCGTACAGCAACTATAGAGAACAGTACAT